GGGGGGGATCCCAATTTAGACCCCAATATATCATAAACCTTATTATAGGGCCCCCCCAAAAAGGTATCCCCAATTTTGGGGAACCCTGAACCCTAATTCCTAAACCCTAAACCCTATATAACCCTGTAACCTTGTATTCCCCAAAATGGTACCCCTGATTTTGGGAAACCCTAAACCCTAAACTCTAAACCCAAAACTCTATACACCCCTATGTAAGAAAACCCCTATGTCCACCTTTAAAGGTAACCATAATTGTCAGAACCCCCCTCTATTTTGGGAAACCACCCCATAATGGTATATACGTAGCCCAAAAAGCATCCCGAAAGGCAAATTCATAGGACCCAATGGGCCTTAATGAACTCTTGTAACCTCCAAATACCTAATGAGGCATTTAGGGTTTAGGGTTTGAGGACGCTCCTGTATAGGTGGGGCCATAGCAGCCCCATGATCCATGTACTAATCCGCTCCCCCTCGTAAAAGGCCCCTCCCGCGACAATGAATATTCGCCTCGAAATGTGATGGCACTATATACGGGGCGTGTTGGTTGCTAGGAGAATCGGGGGATCATTATCATATAGGCTGTAGTCTAAACTCTTAAAGGGGGTTATATGGAGGATTCTACGAGGGAGTATCATGGGGGGGTACTACGGGGGACACTAGGAGTTTAGACTATGGCTTAGGAGGACCCCCTACCCTGTAATAGTGGTATACTAGGAATATAAGAGGACCCTAGTATAATCTTCAGTATCCCCCTAGTCACTATTGCTGGGTGGGGGGTCCTCCTAAGCTATAGCTGTCTATAGCTCACATGCAGGCCTTCACCCTAAACCTCACACCCCAAACCGCATAAGGGAGGGGATTACGACTCAGGTGGGTAGTATTGTATTTGGGGATACTCTGGTACCCATTATAGAGTACGATTCTATCCTCCTTTTGGGTATAGTATTTTATATAGGGAATATAATCTTACTGGGTTTTACCACCAAAAAACACTGGCCAGGTGTAGTGTGGTGGGCAACAGCAGTGACAACATTGGACATCGACATTCCATTCTGCAGTCACATGGCCGCAAGTGAGTGTGCTTTAGGGTTCAAGGTTTCAAGAGGGTCCTCTCTAGAGAACAATGACAACAAGCATTCCGACAGGCTGTAGAATCATATTTTGCTGGGACACCTTTTATGTTGCTTGTTGGAATGAGCATCTCCATTTCTCCGCCACTTCCGCAATCAGAAGCTCGCTCAAGTAGCAAGGCAGCAAGAAGGCGTTTGTGGACTTTGCAGGAGGATCCCAGGAGTTTGGACTATAGCTCGGATGACATGTAGCATGAAGCGTGCAAAGCTCAACTGACGTGTAGCATGAAGAATGCAAAGCAACTGCTACATTTGAACAACTGCAAGCTGTGGGCAGGATCGTAGTTTTTCGGGGCTGCACGCAGGGGATCAGCATTCTGTGAAAGGATAGCCTCGAAGGGCCTGTAATCACATTGCTTCCTAGCTGCAACACTGTCCGAAGATGGCAGGGGCAGAGCTATTCCACACTCATCATTGCCGTCTCCGCACTGTGCTGACACCCTGCCTCGCATGGCCAAATAAGCAGGAGTCTGCGGCGGCCAGGGGCCTGCTTCAAAACGCGCACGGCATTGCTCAGAGCTTCGCACGTCAGGCAATTACTGTGAGAGATTGCCCACACCTGCTGGAGGAAGGCGCTGACTTCTTGGAAACGCTGGAGCAGATCAAGGCAATGGCGGACCCTAGGGATCCAGGCTGCTATTCCTACATGGCCACAGCATGCTGTGGGCATCTCGTGGGCATAGGCGTTGCGTGGGCAAAGAAGGATCGACATGGGCTGGCAAAATTGGCCTTGGCCTTGGCAGCATCCCAAGATGTTGCCAAGGTGGAGCGTGCGCGACTCTTGCATTGGATGGACACCGAGATGTGCAACGACTTTGCTGATCTGAGAGGCACGTGGGGCAGGCTGCGCGAGACCTATGGAAGTCATGATGTTCAGCAAACTCACCGGAGGACGGATGCTGTTTCGGAGGAGCCCCCACAGGTAAAATGCGATTTTGCCGTGCCTGCTGCTCCTGAGCTGGAGGATCCGCAGGAATCGGATGCTTTTCCAGAGCCCGCACCAAATTCTGGTCCTACCTCAACTTCTGACTTTGATGTCCAGGCTCTTAAGGTCCCCAGTGCCGCGGAGGCTGTCTGGGGTCCCACGTGCTATGACTTTACCAACAGCCTTGGGAAAGTGGACACCACTGTTGCATACTGTTCGGGAGCCTTCCTGGCGCTGGGAGAGATGGTGTGCATGGACCGATACATTCTTATGCAAGCTCATGTTGTCAATCGTGGTTTTCAGAGGGCGCCGCTGGCGATGGAGCGCGAGTTTGATTTTCCTCACATGACACTGGTAAAGCTTGAGGCAGGAGAATCTGAGCGGATTTGCGACGATACTATCTGGAAGAGTGCCGTCAAGAATGGCGATATGAATATTACTAGCATGCTCAGGCAGTTGAACCATGATGTAAGGAGCCTTGGCCTTCCTTTCAGGCTGGTTCCGGTACATGTCCAGCAATGTTGGTATGGCAACCGCTACAACATCACAGGTGGCGAAGGGCTCAAGGTCTTTCGCACACTGCAAGCTCTCATTTGCTCTCGATGCGCTCGACTTGGGCAAGGCAGTTTGCAGGAGTGGTCGCAAGACCCCGCCCACCCTCATATCACCTATGAGTACCCGGATGCGATAGAGGAGGCACACGGTCATGGCTGGGAAGAGAGGAGCAGCCTAGGCAGTTGCCGCAGCAGTTCCGACGGCCGCGCGTCATCGTTGCCTCGCGTCCTGGAGTGCTTGGACGCAGCCAAGCTGCAGAGGTACCGGAAGATCTTCAAGAAGGAGCGCCTCGGCGTTTCGGCACTCTTGGGCATAGATGACGCGCGACTCAAAGAAGCAGGAGTGTCTGCCATGGGCGACCGCATCAAGATCCTGAACATACGGGAGGCTCTGCGCGCGGAGCAGCAGTGAGGCTGCTTCAGCACCGCTGTGCTTTCTCTGCTTGTAGCCGAGTATGTATGCGAGATGTAGGTCTCCAAAGTTCTAGTTGCGAAAGTCACTTCCTGATGATGCTTAGTCGAGAGCCTGCTGCCCGAATCAAGGACTATGGCAATGGGACTGGGGAATACAACTTGAAAGAAGAACTATATTAGACCGTCCCTCTTGATAGAGTTGTAGGTTTATCATTCTGAAGGACTTGCGCAAACTTGAAAAATAATGGGCCGGAAGCTCTTGCCGTTGCTGTTGGATGCTGTGCTGCCATCGGTGACATTTGAATGCTGGTGCTGCAGAGCTGCATGAAAAAAGGTTGCGCAGGCCCCTTTGGGATTCCTTCAGTTGCTCCATCGTATTACTGCCATTATAATAAGTGTTATTCTGACTATTATTTATTACCGCTATTATCATGACTGTAATATTCCGTCGACTATTGAGCAAATGCATGGACAGGTGTGAGACAGCCACTCGGGTGCCTTTTGTCACGGACCTTCGGAGGAGAGGTCTTGAAAATTGATAGCAGCGCATGCTTGCGGATCAGGATACCAGGAAACCAAGACGGAAGACCTGGATGTGAGATCCTGAATAGTACCATATTGGGCTACTGGGTTCCCAAAAGGATCACAATGTTGACAACCACCCACGTACATTCGCAGAATGATCTGCCATGAAAATCTAATTACGTTTCAGACTGAGCCTCCACATTTCATTTCAAATTCCCAGACATTCAGACATCCTGAAACGCTGACTCCAGCGCGTCTTGAACGCAAGGGCCATAGCTGTAGATGCACAGTTGTTTAAGGCGCGGACACGTTCTAAGAGCCATGTCTGTATGCAGGAGTAGCACTTGGAGTTCAGAATCTGTCGGAGACCCAAACTTCTAAGCACTCCTTGGTTACTGTTATAATTTCGAATAATCTTAACATTAAAACGATTATTGTTATTACTAATACTATTTTGTATGACTAGTATTACTCCTAAGCTCGAAGCTCTGACCCTTGAACCCTTGCACCAAACAAATCTAAACCATACGAGCCTCTTAGCCCCTGACTAGATTAGAATCATACAAAGGTTTTACAAGGACTATAATGGGATTACAATGACGGACTATTTAGGCAACGTCCATCACAAAATTTTGGAGTTTAGGGTTCAAAGTGCTTTAAAGCCTGCGCCTTCATGCCCATGAGCAGACTTCGGGTTTAGGGTTCAGGGTTTAGGGTTCGGGGTTTAGGGTTTAGGGGTGCCGGACTTTCTTGGCATCCTGAACGCCCAGAGGATTGATGCAAGGTCCTCGACCATAGTCCCCCTTAGGTGGATAGAATATAGGGTTTAGGGTTTAGGGTAGTCTCCGTTAAGTAGATAAATTATGGGGTATATGAGGGTCTTATTAAAATCATATACCCAAAGCCCCTATTCTATCTACTTAAGGGGGAGTATATATTGAGGCTTTCTAAGCATAATGGAAAATGGAAACAGCTGTAATATGTAGGGTTTAAAGGGTTTACCACAAAAAGGTCAAAGGGATTACGTCCTGTGAAAGTCTTGCAGCTCCTTCTCTTGGACCCGTTGTGTTAAGCTACGTGACATTCAAGGCCCAAGATTGCCATCATAGCCAACATGCGGCAGCCACACTCGTAGCTCCCAACCTTCCCCTTTTGAGGCCTAAGTAATGCTGGCCCCCGATGCCAAACATCACCCTTCACTTACCAATGGTAAGCCCAATAATTCTCTCATGTTATCATAATAACGACATGATGATGGAGAAGCTGTAGTAACAGGGCGGCTTGGGCGTGTCTTCATGATGCGAGAAGGGCATATGGAAAACTGCTAGCCCTCAACCTTTCAAACCCTACAACCTAAACCGGGTGGAACCCAGGTGATACCGAATTTGCAAAAACCCCAAAAGACCCACAGCAAGCAACCGGGTGGCTGTCGGTAGATCACCATGATATGGTTTCATCAGTACGGTAACTTTGCTTAGGTTCCGTAAGTCCCTAGAACCCGTGTATATCCACAGTTTCCATGTCACTCTCCATGTTCTTTCCATTGGATTCCCCACCATGCTAACATGAAACCTTAAACCCGACCCTGCTAAATGCTAAACCCGGGGCCTTAAACCCTAATTCCCAACCCTAAAGCCTTAAATCCTAAACCCCAACCTTAAAGCCCTAAACCTAAGCCCCAGATCCCAACCCTGGCCCAGCCCTAGAGCCTTAAACCCTAAACCCTGAACCCTGAACCCAACCCTAAAGCCCTAAACCCCATGAGGTGAGTCCGTCATGCCAGAGTCTCCACCCGGAGCTGCGCCTTTCACTTGCTACGGCCCACGGAGGGCCGCTGTGCAGAAAAGCTCTGAACCATCTTTAGGGTTTTAGGGTTTAGGGTACTAGGGTTTAGGGTTTAGGGTTTAGGGCTTAGGGTTGAGGATGAGAGTGGGAGGCGGGTTAAGGGCTTAGGGGTGCAAGGTTCAAGGTTTAGGAATTTGTGTATTGGGTTGAAGGTGGGATTAGGCTTTTTGGGGGGTTTGGGGTGTATGGTTTGTTTAGGGGTTAGGCTTTCTTGATTAGGATTTGAGGAGCGTGGCTGGGTGAAATAGCTGAAGCCAAGGGCTCATGGGTTTCAGGGTCATGGGTTTACATCCACTACGGGCTATTAGACCTTAAGGGTACCTTAATCTACCCTTAATAGGGACCTAATAGGGAAGTTTAGGGTCTAATAGCCCATAGTAGATGGGGTTTATGTCCCTCATTGAGATTGGGTTGGCGCATGTTCAGATGCATGTGAGGAGTTTCCTTGAGCTGGGGACCTTAACGTGGACTTCAACATGCCACAATCCTTGTGAAAGGAACTCCCCAAACAGACGCCCGATGTCGCGAACCCCCCTCCCTTACATGTATTCACATATACAAATACATGGATACATAATTTTTCTATATATATATATACACACACACGCAATGCCATACCTAAACCCTAAACCCCTAAACCCTAAACCCTAAACCCCTAAACCCTAAACCCCTAACCCCTAAAACCCTAAACCCTAAACAGTCACTTCCTTGTGAAAGTCTGAGGTAGGCCAGGAGTGCCGTGCCAAATGTGATCCGGATCCGCTGAACACAGACACGGCCGCCATTTCCTGCCTTCCTGTTCCTTGGGGTGTCCTAGTATACTGTCTAATATGGCTGCTTATACCATTGCCTAAACCCCAAAAGTATGTAGAATAATGGCCTTTAGGGCTTTTTTTATGGGTCCAGGGCCACTATTTTACATATTTTGGGGTTTAGATAAACCCTAAACCCTAATTAAACCCTGAACCTTAAACCGTACCAATGCATTCTCCGCGGGCCTCCAGAAATTACGGGCCCCTATAGTTCCCTGCGGAGGATCCTTCTTACTAGGTCTGTCCTCTGTGGGGTTCCCAAAAGGAATCTAGAGTTTAGGGCTTAGGCTTTAGGTCTACCCTAGTAGAAGTCCGAATCCCTAAACCCTGAACCCTCAATCCTACACCCATCTTCGAAGTGAGAGTTCCATCGGAGATTCAGGATTTGAGCTGGGCCTTTTCCGTGCGATGCCCCACCCCGACAGCCACTTGGATTGTACGTCTTGTGATATTTACAGGGTAGTTTTAGGGCGCAGGGTTAATGTTTGAAGTGAACAGCCGGGCATGTAAAGATTTGGGTTTAGGGTTTAGGGTGTTGGGTTTAGGGTTGAAGGATTATATGAGCAGCTGTCAATGTTGGCCTTCTTCAGGGACCCTTGACAGTGGACATAGGGGTCCCTCATGTAGTTTAGTATAGTCCCTAACGTCGGTAAAGAAGGGGTCCTTTGCCCAGCAACTTATGTGGGGAATATTGACTGTATGGAGGTATGTGTTGGCATATGCAGGGTCAAGGAGGTTAACATAGTAAGGGCTGCAGGTTTCCCAGCCCCCTCGTTGAAGCCGTACAAGCTATAGTGTAAACTCTTTAAAGGGGGTCGAATCCTCAACCCTTAAGCCTAAACCCCAAACCCTAAACCCTGAACCTCAAACCCTAAACCCTAAACACCAAACCCTAAACCCTGATTACATAGAGGAGTATTATGGGGGCTACTAAGAGGGATACTAGGGGCTTCTGCCTCGCAGAGCGTGCGCCCGTCCTTGATCAGGAGATGGTCATCGTTGTCACAACTGACACTGGGCGGTTTAGGGTTTAGGGTTTAGGGTTTAGGGCCAACAGTTTCAACATTTGTTGTCCTTTCCTTCTTGTGGTATGGACTGCTTGTACAATTCTAAAGCCTCCTTTTTTGTAGTGGCGAAGTACGTAAGCAGAGGATTTGGTAACTCTAACCTCACCCATAACCCTTTACCCTAGACCCTAAACCCTAGACCCTAAACCCTTCTTTTGTGATTCTGATGGGGGCTCAACTGTGGGGTCGGGAGTCCCCCAATCCCCTTGTGAATAGAGACAAATGCAGACCCTAATTTCAGGCTTTAGGGTTTAGGGCTTAGGGCCTTAAACCCCAAACCTTGTAATCCCTACATCCAAAACCTTAACATAGATAGAAACTGAGGAGACGCCGACAACCAGCAATGAAGTCTTGGTCTCTTGCTGGCTTCAACCTAACCCCAAACCCCGTAGGGTTTAGGGTTTGGGGCTTAGGGTTTGGGTAGGCTTTAGGGCTTATCCGTTAGGTGGGTAAGACTTAAACCCTAAAACCCCAAACCCTAAACCCCCAAACCTCTACAGTCAGACAAGGTCGTATTTGGGTTCATCGCTCTTGGACTCTTCGGAGGCTTCCTGCTGGCAGCCCTCTGCTGCGTACTGTCGGCCCACTTCCGCGCGAAACTGGCACAGGCAGGGTTTCCTACAACAGCAAGGGTTTGGGGTTTAGGGTAATAAGGCGATTTAGCGAACCCCAACCGTCAAAACTGGGACTCTTTATAGCTATTATGTGATTGTTGAAGAGGGTTCTGATTACTAGCCCCCCCCGAACAAGTAAAGCGACTGCGTCCCTCAACCAAATTTCGGCAGACTTGTTTTTGGGGGCTCTCGGGCCTTGTCAATTAGCTCTCCATTGCAGGGGATCAATTCCGGACCCTAAACCCTATCTCTTCCGTACCCATTTCATTAATCCGTTCGGCCAAAAGCTCGCTCTGTTACGAACCCATTTACTAGTCCGAAGCTAACATGATTTGGTCCTACTTTGGGGGAGGGGGTGGGGGCAGGGTTTAGGGTTTACCGAAGCACTCACGAGGTGTCACTATAAGGTGGTATGTAGAGATCGATGGAGTTTAGGGTTTAGAAGCTCGAGGTTCTAGGAGATGTTCTTAGGAACCCCAGGGAAAGGTGGGGTAATAAGGAATTGTAAGGGCTTTTTTGTATTCAAACACTTTTAAGTTTGTACCCTTAATGTTTGTATATCTGGGTTTTGGTGCCCAAATACACTTAATAGGGGCCATGTTCCATGGTTTAGGGACCCAAACCCAAGGGTACAGACCCTAAGGCTACAAAGGACAAATCCCCAACTCCCTGATTTACAGGTTTTATGGGGATGATCCCTATAACCCCAAGCCCTAAACCCTAAACCCCTAAACCCTAAACCCCCAGATCCCTAACCCTAAACCCTATACACCCTTAACTAGGCCAAGGCAAGCCGCGTGGCGCCGGAAGTTCCGCACGAGGCCTCGAACATGACAGATCGCCCCTCTATCGCAGTTGAGGGTTTTGGCTTGAGGGTTAAAACCTTACCTGGACCCAAAAAAGTATGTAAAATAATGGCCTTTGGGGCTATTATTATGGGTTTAGGGCCATTATTTCACATATTTTGGGGGTTTAGGTAAACCCTGAGGCCTAAACCCCAAGCCCGAAACGCTAAATAGCACGACCCTAAATCCTTGTAACCTAGGTAAACCCAGTTGCCAATTCATGCTCCATTTTCTGCAGGGTTTAGGGCTTACAACGGTAGGTTCGAACATGTTTTTTTTTTTTTTAATGTTTATTGCCCTTAACCCCTGTATAATCCTTATAAAGCCATACAAATTTGATTCTCGTAGGGGCCCCAAACCTACACCGGTTTCGGGTTAAGGTGAATTTGCCACTATTCAAATATGTTGCTCTAAGCATAAACCCCAGCAAGCTGGCCCCATGACCTCTTGGGGGGGGGAGTAGGGTTTAGGGTTTAGGCAACTCTGTAGGGTTAAAGGCGCCTAAGTTAAGGGTTTAGGGTTTAAGTTTAAGGTTAATTAAGATAAGAGCATGGTTTACTAGTGCTGGTTACTAGTACTATGTTTAATTTCTATTCTTGTACCTTTATATTACTATTTACTATTACCATTTACTAAGTTAGGTGGCAAGGCACATCGAGATTATAGCAGTGACTACTACCTAAACATGGCTAACTATAAGCAGACGCCTACTTTCGGGGCCTCAAAATCCACGTGTAACTACGAACCTCGAAGTACAGGGAGGCCCTTCAGACATCCCTACTTTCATGTGCTAACAACCCCTGTTCCCCCCTTGATGAAGGCTTTCAAAGGATATTTAAGTGATGATTCCAGCAAGTTAAGGCTTCTCAAGCGGGAACCTAGGTGGACCTAGTATAGGTGGGGTAGTAGTGGAACTCATCGTAAATCCTGAAGTGTGGAATCCCCGACTGCTGCCTTCCCTCAACCCAGAAGTGTTCAGAGTAGAAAAACCCATTGGAATACCCCTGAATTATCCTGAGCCCTGGGTTTGGGGCTTAGGGTTTTAGGGTTTCGGGTTTGGGTTTTAAGTGTTTAGGGTTTAGGGTTTAGGGACTCGAAGCCCCAAACCCTAACCCTGAATCCTACCTAAACCCCCAAAGTATGTAACATAATGGCCCTAAACCCATAGTAATAGCCCTAAAGGCCATTATTTTACAAATTTTTGGGGTTTAAGTAACCCTAAACCCTGAACTCAGGATCTCTGGCATCCTCACTGAAGTCTGCTCCATCTGCACCGGCTCAGCTGCTGTTTCAGACGCTCACAGCTTGTTTGCAGGGTTGCTGTTAAGGAGCTAAACTTAAGTTACCATACTTGTATATATATGCCATATAGTAGTTATATGGTTTCCCCAATATAGTAACTTAGATTGAGTTCTTTAGCAGCAATCCAGTTTAGGGTTTCGGCTTGTGAAGCAGTGGGGCGGAGGGGTCTCCAAAGCGCTTTGGGTGTAGGGTTTGGATGTAGACCCTAGGGGTTTCACGGAGATTATGGCGCAGGGCTCAGGGTACAGGGATTCGGGGGGGCATCCTAAGAAAGCCATTGTCTTGAAGCTTGCTTCATCGAATCCTACGATGCAGCTAGAGCTCCAATGTTTCAATCTTCCCATCCCTCAAGAGCCTCGACAATCACTCTGACATGCGTGCATCCATCCCTCAAATCTTAAACCCTAAATTGCTATACCCTCAACCCCAAACCCCCTAAACCCCCTACCCTAAAGCCTAAACCCCCGCAAACCCTAAATCCTAAACCCTAAGCCCTGTGCATCATGCCTCAGAACCTTCTCCTGATCCCGTCACAATTCATACTGCCATTCCTCCTGTGGTAGGGTTTAGGGTTTAGGATGTAGGATTTGGGGTTTAGGGTGTAGGATCTAGGGTTTAAGGTTTGCATACCATACTTTGCCCGATGCCTGGACAATATCTAAGGTTTCAAGCATGAGCCCTTAACATGGGCCGTTAGGCCTTTTCGGGGGTTTTCAGATGTCGGGTATGTAGTAGGCATATAAGGATCCCACGGTTGAGGGCCCATACAAGGGGCCCATGGCTTCAACCTTGGACAATACCAGGTTTGCTTTCCCATGATACTCTCAACACACCATGACGGCAAATTCAACAACATGATGCAAGGGGCAGAGGCTTTACATCCCTGGGGAGTAGGAATTAGGGCTCATTCAGGGTGTTAAGGGTTTAGGTTGGAAATCCCTACAACCTAAACCCTTACCCCTAAACCTGCCCGCCGCAACATATAGAATCCCTGTAAAAGGGAAGAATGGATTCAGAAATTCTTGTCAGAGCGGGCGTCAAACCAACAAGAGGGATAGAGATTGGGGTATAGGGTATGTGGCATTAGGACTTTGCTGATACATGGGGATTACAGGGATTCTGGTAGTCCTCCTCACAGAGTATAGAGGTAACAAGCTCGAGAAACCCTAAGCCCTAAATCCTAAACGAAACGCTAGGACGTGGGCAGCTGAGAGCGCAAAGTCTTTGCCGATGTCGCCCAGCTTCCGCACGAAGTCGCCGGAGCGGCCGCAACCCCTCGCTGACTTGGATGCTGGAATTATATGGTTGGGTGTAGTAGGCACAGGGTTTGAGTTTGAGTTAAGGGTTATGGTGGCGGATTTCAGCTTTAGGGTTGAGAAGATTAGGGCTTAGAAGTCAGGGCTAGAAGTCTACGCGTATTGGTTTGGGTTACAAGAGTTTTCGGGACATGCAGGAGAGTGGACTTTCTTTAGGGGCTTGCCCCTAGCTTACTCTTTTCAATCAGCCTGCCGTGGCGAACACTTAAATGGGAGTCTCCATGAATAGGCACAAAATAGACTGCCATTTACTATAAGCCTTACTGTAAGGACTCACAAGAAGAAGGGGGCCTTAATCTTTGGATGCCACCAAGCTATCTAATCTAACTGAATAGTATATATTGTATAGCTTTATAGGGCTCGAAGAGAGGTTGTGTACAGTGATGTCATGGATATGGCAGGGTAGGTCCTCTAGAATCCTTGATCAATGTCCCCAAGCGTCCCGCCTGTTAAGGGGACTCCCCAAAGAAGCTCATCCTCAGGCGCGCGCCAGAATCAGAAATTAGGGAGGGTAGGCTAGGACAGAAGACAGTAATGTTCCTGTAATTTCATTATTGTAAGGATGTGGATTTTTTCCTTCTCGCGAACCCCGCCGACCCTGAACTCTACATCCTGAATCCAGAACCCCCAACTAAATTCCAAATGTAACATTACCTACATTCCCTGCGACGCACCCCCTTGAGAACTGACGAGTAATGAGTAGTAGCACAATTTTCCAAAGGGTCCATGTGGCTATTTGGTACCCCGGTTTCCATGAATGGGGAGACCGCAAAGTAGATCCCAAAGTAGACCCCACTCAAATGATATAATCTTTAGTAAGGATTATATCATCTGGAAAGGATTCCTTACTGTTGGTGTTTAGGGTTTAGGGTTCAGGGTTCAGGGTAATGGTACCCCACATTTTCAGAAACCCCGACCCAAAAACTCTTAATATCCTTCTGTAACTCTATGACGAATATAACCCTCTTCCATGGTACGCCTTATTGGGGCAAAACCCTTTACATCCCTATATAACCCAGACAATATACACCCCCCCCCCCACCCCACAATAACCACTGTAACGCCTATAGCCTCGAAACCCTACCAACCCTAACCGCCTCCCTACTAAATCCCTAAACCTAAACCCTAAATACTAAACCCTCTATCCTAAACCCTAAATCCTAAATCCTAAACCCTAAATCCTAAACCTTAAACCCTAAATCCTAAGCCCTAAACCTTTTGAAAGAACCACGGAGGAAGGCCGGGAGCCTCCTGCGGGCGCGGGTGACCTGCGCACGCTGACTCTGGGTCAGAGTTATGGGTTTGGGGTTTAGGGTTTATAGGGTTTAGGGTTTATGGGTTTAAGGCAAGTATGTAATATAATGGCCTTCAGGGTGATTATTATGGGTTTAGGGCCATTATTTTACCCCTATAGGCCTTCTAGGGTCCTTCTGAAGGGGTTTTAGGATCTAGGAGTCGTCCCTTTAAAGGAATTATAGGATCCTATGGGCCTTACTATAGGCTAGGGGTTTAGGGTTTAGGGGTTAGGGCTTAAGGGGTGAGGGTTTAGGGGTTAGGGTTTAGGGGTTAGGGGATCAGGCTTTAGGGTTTGGGGTAATAAGCCTTAGGGAAAAAGGGTTCTCATGGGAATCCCAAGCAGGAAATCCAAGAATATAGTAGGAATACAGTAAAATATAAGGACCCTGGTAGGTATACTCCTATTATATTCCTACTATATCCTTGGGGTTCTCTGTTCGGGGTTCCCATTAAAGTCCCTTTATAGGGCTTAGTGGTTTAAAGTTTAGGGTTCAGGGTGTAAGGTTTAGCGTTTAGGGTTTAGGGTTCAGGGTTCAGAGTTTAGGATTTAGCGCGCCAGGTTGAAGTTTAAAGTTTAGGGTGTAGGGTTTCAGTCTTAGGGTTTAGGGTTTAAGGTTAGGATTCGAGGTTTGGGGTTTAGCCTTTCTCAGTAGCTGAGTAAGTCGCCTTAAACCTTTTTGCGCATAGATTAGATTGCTAAGATGAAAAAGGTAAACCTCTCTTGTGCCAAAGACAGTCAGCAGCTAGGATTTAGGGTTAGGGGTTTTGGGTCTAGGCAGGTTTTCACTTCTGAGGGGGATGGAGAGGATGGAGATTCCCTTATCTAAGCGAACGGTTCCCTTGTGCGTCAGAATGTAATTGTTCTAAAGCCCAGAGGCCTAGACCCAGACCCCCAAGCATAGTGTCCAGCCCCTAGACCCTCAAACCCTGCGACCTAAACCCTAAACCTTAAAACCGTAATCTTAAACCCTGTTGTCTAGTTGCTAAATCCCAAGCCTTTTTCCCTTAACTCTGACCTGGGTGTGTCTTGGGAATAGCTTTAAGTTCATTATGCCCCGTAAGTCCTACATTATATAACCTAATATAAGTGACAACCCATGAGAATAAAAGTTGTATACGGCCTCCGAATCTACACGAGTAACCTCTACATCCTAAACCCTGAACCTTAAACCCTAAACCGCGAACCCTGAGCACTAAACCTAAACCCTAAACTCAAAATCCTAAACCTTTAACCCTAAACTCAGGACCGTGGAAGAGAGCTTCTGGGATTGGGCCAAGGTGCCTAGGGCTGACTTTAGTCTGGCTTTTCGGGTTTAGGGTGTAGGGTGTAGTGTTTTTTTGGGGGGGCTTGGGGTTTGGTTAAGCGCTTAGGGTTTGGGAGTTCACGTTGCCGGCGTTTGATTTTTTTGGGCTTCATCTACAGGCCCTTTCTAGAAATTATCGAGGAATTCTGCAACTGCAGGCCTATACTGACAACTATAGGGGAAACAACTTTTCAAATGGCCCTTCTGGGACGAATAATTTTGATCAACTACCATATCCTCAAGGTTTCTAGGAATTAGCACCCTAAACCCTGAACCGCGTGCAGCCGCGATATCATTCGCGGCTGGGTCTAGGGTGTTGTTTAGTGGTGGTTAGTAATGACTGGAGGAGAGGGCTCTACGTGATCCTTTCGGGGGGAGGGAGGTGGTTAGGGTTTAGGAAGTAAAGATTGTGGGTTAAGGGTGTAGGGTTAGTTGTTATCTCCCATTATCTACTCAGAGGAAGTGTAGTAGCGCGGCTAAAGATTTAACTCCCACTAGTATTGTTCATGCTACTATGCATCATCGTTTTCACCAGTACTATTACAATTACGCTTAGCAACACTGCTGCCATTCCAATTGTCTGAGAGTTTCCAGTCACTACTCCTTTTCTTCTCGCACTAGGTACCCCAGTAGTATCCTTTTCTCCTTATTAAGCTGATTATTAGGAAACAGGGTACCCTTATCATGAAGGGATTACGGGGAAACCTAGACTATGTTATCCTCCCAGATTTTACCTACATTCCCTCCCACATTCCCCTCAAGAACTGACTGTGTACTGTTCCTCTAACAGTTGCTTTTACCCATACGATTACTATGACTATCACTCAAAGTAGCCATATTGTACGTACACTTTTGGGCCCTCATCTGGTTATATGGGAGCCCCTTTGGGCCCTAAGCGTATATACCCTAAACCCTCGACCCGACACCCTGGACCCCAAGCCCCCAAACCTAGACCCTGAGCGCTATAGACCTACATAAACGCTTTTGGTTCCCAAGCCCTGAACCTTAAACCCTAAACCTGAAACCCTAAACCCCTGAACCCTGAACCCTGAACCTTAAACCCTAAACCCTGCATCCTAATCTCTAAATCCTTAACCCTAAACCCCCAATATATGTAAAATAATGGCCCTAAACCCATAATAATAGCCCTAAAGGCCATTATTTTACATGCTTTTGGGGTTTAGGTAGACCCTAAGCCCTAAACCCTAAACCCTAAACCCTACACCCTAAAATCCCTAAACCCTCCGAAGGAGTGGTCGCACGCCTCTGTGGTGCAGTCGGCCATGCCCGACCCCTCCATGCAGCTGGCAACTGCGCAGGATGAAGTAAGGGATTGTTATAAGTATTATTATTATTAGTAAGGCTCGAGTTATTATTAGTTGTATTTATGTACAGTATTGTTACTGTTCTTATTAGTATTAGTATTGATATTATGAGGATTAGGGTTTCTAGGTACCCCAGTAGTACCCTTGTTCCCTTTTTATTTTGGGGTCTCCTTATCAAAGTTGAATGCTAGGGAAAAGGGTACCTTTATCATTAAGGGATTACTGGGGAATCTAGGTTTAGCGTCTAGGATTTAGGCAAGTTAGAGCTCTAAGTCCCTTTTCAGGGGTATACGAGGATTTAGGGTTATGAGTTAGGTTTTAGGGTTTCGAGTTTAGGGGGTAGGTTTGGGATTTAGGGCATTTAAGATCGAAAGCTAGGGTTTGGGGATCCTTTGTAAGTAATACAGGCAGTTTGAAACCCTAAGCCCTACGCCCCTGTGTAGGGTTCAGGGCTTGTAGTCCCCCTTAAGTACAGTAGATAGCATATTGCTTTGGGTCTAATATGGTAAGATCCCCAGATACACCATATTCTATCTACTTAAACCCTAAGCGACTAAACCCTGAAGCCTAAAACCTAAACCTCAAACCCTAACCCTCAAACCCTAAACCTATATAACCCCATTATAGTAGTTTCCATGTTCTTTGCCATTATCCTTATATAACCCCGCTATAACCCCTATACTATAGTTTCCATTTTACCTAAACCTTGGGTACTGCCCCTCTCCCCCTCAGTAACAGTTGGATAATAATTATACTATGTCTATATATAGCCCTTAATAGGACCCCTGATATAGACTGTTACTGAGTGGGGGCAGTACCCAACCTAAACCCCAAACCTCAAACCCTAAACCCGAAACCCTAAATCCCTTGGGCGTGAAGGAGCTTCCAGCATCCGTCCTCGATGGTGAGGATGAGGATGCTGAAGAAGAGGGGCTGGAAGACACGGCCGCTGCCTTGCAGCTGCAGAACATAGGCTCGGGCTTGAGGTTCTTGATGTAGGGTTTAGGGGTTTTTAGGGTTTAGGGCGTTTTAGTGTTTTTTAGGGCTTAGGGTTTTTAGGGTTTGGGGTTTTTAGGGTTTAGCGTTTAGAGTTTGGGACTTGGGTTCTTGATTTGAGCTACTGTCCAAACTCCTCCAAGAGGGTTATATAAGGCGTTATCTAGGGGAGTATTGTGAGGTTCATTTAAGGGGACGCTAGGAGTGTAGATGCTAGCTGATTCAGGATTTAGGGCTTAAAAAGGCTTAGGGATGCTGTTGAGGAGTTCAACTAAAGTTACGAAGTTATATCACTTACTTGTTTCATGATTTCTTATGTTGTAGGCTTATCAAAACCATCCCCTGAGTATCCTAACTGGAGACATCTCATGAACTCCATATGTCCCCCGTATATGCCCAGGGATTTGCAGAAGCCCATTACAGATGGGTAGTTTACAGTGGGTAGTCTCCTATAGGCCTTCCATACCATTCCTATAAGACATTGGGGGGCTTATGGGAGCCCTGATGGCAGTATTATGGGAACTACCCACCTGTAAAGGACCCACCTGTCAAGAGCTTCCATTTTGGGTGGCCTTCTATTTTAGCTGCGTAGCAGCAACCCTGTAGGTTCGGACTCAGATGACGCTGCCCCAAAGGCCCTGACGAATTAGAAACAGCAGATGCCGAGGGCAGATCTGAGTGACTTTACCCTACTTGGAGGGTCACGGGGACTTAGTAAGTAGGTTAGTACCCCCTATAGCGGTTTAGGGTTTAGGGTGATTATCCCTATCATTGACCTACTTATTAATTCCCCCTCACCCTCCAAGTGCCAGTACCTTCTTGGAGGCCACCCAAAGGGGGCCCTCTGAGATTGGCTGTACAAAGCTTATGGGGGCAATCCTGCAGGGATAGAGCCTCGGCCTCGCGTGTGGTTTGAAAAGGTGGGACCAGCATGGAGGTTCCTCAACATAGGGATACGCACGGATATATAGGGGCAGACAGAGAGATTTGGGGATATACAGGTTTGGGGCTTCGGCATTCTCATAACGTAGGGCTGGTGGGGACTTTCGCGCATATAGGATGCGCAAAAGGACTAATCCTGCTGCGTCCTCCGGAGGGTGATATGCGGGCTTTCAGGAGGAATCCTGAACCCCACAATAGCTTTCACCTGAAGGGCCGGTTCATGATTGCTTTGATGAGTGTAGTGGCTTCTTGCCAGGAAAAGCTAGGCATGTGTGATATGAGCCCGAGTCTAAACTTCTGTATCCTCCTGAATAAACCCTATAGTAGCCCCCTATGTGTTTCCTCGCCACTATATAGCTCGTAGAAGCGCTTCTAAGAATGTATGGGTCCTGTGATTGGCGTGTCGTAGGCTAAACACATTTTTTGTGTTACATCATCGGTCTAATTTTGGGAAAGTCCAGTTTTCATTAAATGAATGTACCTAAACACCAAAAAACATGTTAAATAGTAGCCCTAAGCCCATACTAACAGGCATAAAGGCCGTTGTGTTACATACTTTTGGGGTCCAGTTAGAAGCTTGAGGAATACAGTTTCGGGCCGACTCCTCTGATAAATCTTATCTATACCGTGATATAACCCACACTAAAACCTTATAGTCTGCCTTAAGGAGGTGGAATATCGGGTATATGGGGATCTTATTATAGTATACCGAAGGCCATATTCTATCTACTTAAGGAGGACTATATTCTAATCGTTTAGGCCAAACAGCAAACTTCTTTTGGCACTTACAATGCCGGCACGTAGCTGCCCCACACCTAGTAGTAAATCTGGCCTCTCAATATATGAGGTCTCTTACGGGGAATGTTGAATATTCTGGGTGGTGTTGTGTGTGTGTGTGTGCCAATATTACTATGAGGGCATGTTGCTGCCTGTAGAAAGCCTTTGTGGTTTCATTGTCCGTTTTATGCTGGAGTTTCTGTTACATATGATTCGCTACGCAACGCCTAAGCCCTTAACCCCTTCTTAGCGAAGCTGCCCTCTACGCTGAGGCCTCGTGCAATGGGACGGCGTGCCGTAGGCTCCCACTTCTTTAAGGAAGCCCGAAGGGGATCCTAGGGACCAGGTTTGGGGTTTACGGATTTAGGGTTTAGGGTTTAGGATTTAGGGTTTAGAGTTTAGGGTTTAGGGACGAGGGTTTAGGTTATGGTTTGGGGGTGGTTTTAAGGGGATTCCGGGGGCCTTTATAACAGGGATTATGTAGCGATAAGCCCTAAACCCTAAACCCCAAACCCACATAAAAGGAGATGTGTTGGGAAGCTAGGAAGGTTTAGGGAGGCTAAGGGAGGGGGCCCCTTCTATGGGGGACCCATAATTAAGCCTCCCTAAGACCTCCTGAAGGCCTCTCTCAGGCTCCCTAAAATCCCACAAGGTCTCCTATTATGGGGCCCCCTTAGGGCTTCCATAACCTTAGTTATGGGTCCCCTCGCACCCCTTGAGGATGCCTTAGGTTCTCTGCTGCAAGGTTTAGGAGCTGGGTTTTCGGGATTAAGGCTTAAACCCTGAACCCTAAAGATCTATCTAAACCCCCAAAATATGTAAAATCATAGCCCTAAACCCATAATAATAGCCCTAAAAGCCATTATTTTACAGACCTTGGGGGTTTAGGTAAGCCCTAAACCCTTAAGTTTAAGGTTAAGGATGCTTTGGGGTACAGGAGGTTTAAAGTCTAGGGCCACCCGAGAGCCTAAACTAAGGATGTTTAGGATAGTCTAAACTCCTTAAAAGGGGGTTATATACAGGGTTTAGGGTTTAGGGTTGAAGGGGGCTACTATAGGGGTTATTAAGGGGGGATACTGGGAGTTTAGACAATGGGTCACCTGAACCCCAAAGATATCTAAAATACTCGTCTTCTGGGCCAGTTTTAGGTTTGGGGCTTATTATTTTACCAACTTTTGGGGCCCAGGTAAAGCTTAGGATGAATAGTGGTTGCCATAAGAAGGAACCCCCAAAAGAAGCCCGCTTTTCGGACCCCTTTTCATAGTTTAGGAGTAGAGGTTTCGAGAGAGTAAGATGTAGTCTTTAGGTATCCGCGTTTAGCAGGAATGAAGGGATGGAAAAGCACATGGAGACTATCATTTAGACGGTGGGGCTTAGAGTTCAGGCTTGGGAAGGAGACTGGGAACTACTATATAGTAGTGGGTTATATGAGCCATTGTCGAAATTCCTTAGTATCCCCCTTAATCAGCCCTATGATATAAAATAATCCCCTACATAAGCCCCTTTAAGGAGCTTAGACCCTAAACCCTAAGCCCCATACTTAAGGAGTTTGGACTGTAGCTCGTGTAGGGATTATTCTAGGCATCCATGTCCCATACCTTGATGAACAGAGGTAAAATAGGTTTCAAGCTTTAGCTCAAATCCCTTCATCTTTTTTTGGGTTTAAGGTTTGGGGTTTAGGGCTTACATTAAACATGCGCCCCAACCTTGACATTTAACATATCCCCCCCGATATACAAGGTCTCTCAAGGGGCATGTTTAACATTGTGGGTATGGGGGGTGGGTGAATATCGGTAATTGTGCAAGCGTGTACCTAATTATTGGGTACATGGACCCTAAACCCTAAAGCCTAAACGCCAAACCCTAAACCCTACATACCCCTATATATCCCCTTGAAAGGTACCTAATTATTGGGTACATGGACCTTCTGGGGTTTAGGATTTGGGGCTCTGTTGGGATGTGCCGATCTTGCGGCTCGCTGCCTGGACGTCAGATACGATGTGTCACTGGGGTTACTATGTGGCCTATAGGGGCTTTGAGTATCTAACTTTGTCCTCATGACTCATGACCCTCCAGATATAGAATCTTGTGCAACCTCAAACCCTAAACCCTCAACCCCAAACTTCATCATACTTGAAGGTGTCTGGGCGTCTATAAGCCGGATTAGGCATTAAACTGTAGCTATCCTAGCAGAAACCCCTAATACGTTTCGGTTTAGGGTATAGGGCCCTGAACCTGCAAGTAACTTCAATGCATCCTAGCCTAGTGGAATCCTAAACCCTGAGCCCTAGACCATTTCTTTCTCTAGAAAAGAGTATCCCCACTCCAGCGCCGTATCATTTCCCTAAACCCTAAGCCGCGTGGCAATATCGTAAATTGCCAATTGTGCTGGCAGGGATGTGGGAGGATTCAGGAGCAAGTAACCCTGGTCTCGGTCTAGAGTTTAGAGTTTAGGGTTCATCCTCGAAAAATCCCAATTTTCATGTTCCGTTTGATTGTCACCCTATCCCCTAGACACTAAACCTGCTGATTGTCCATTGTGTCCTGCATTCCTGGTAATTTGCAAGCCGCTAGAGTAAACCTAATAAAATCCTATACAAGACCCGGTTTCCATGTCATGTTCCGTTTTTCTTTCCCAGAAAATGCTCGTTTGTTCTCATAAGAGGACGTTTACTGGGCCCAAAGCAGGGAACCTCAAGAATACACTGGGAACAAATTACGAGCATGAGGACCTTAGTAGATGTGTTCCGATTATGTTCTTGCTATATTACTGGGGCTCCCTATTTGGGGTTCCCATCAGGGTTCCTAAACCCTAAGCCCCTAAACTCTTAAACCCTAAACCCCTAGACCCTAAAGCCCTTAACCCTAAGCCCTAAACCCTATATAATCCCATGATCGTGGTTTCCATTTTCTTTTCCGTTATCCCTGTATAACCCCAATATAACCCCTAAAATATAGTTTCCATTTGATTTTTCATTATTCCTATATAACCCCGGTATAACCCCTATATAACCCCATTGAACCTGGTCCGGATGGTTCAGGGATGCTCCGGCGATGGCAGTCAGCGGAGGCCTTCGAGTTAGAGAAGGTTTGGGTTTAAGGGTTTAGGATCTATAAGGGCTTAGAGTTTAGGGTTTGGAGTTTAGGGTTTATAGGGTCTAGGGGTCAAGGTCGTGTTAAGAGTTTTGGGTTTAGGGTGTAGGGTGCGGGTTTAGGTTTTAGGGTTCAAGGCTCAGGTTTAGGGTTTAAGGTCCGTCC